TGTAGCGCCGGCTGTCTTGGAACTTGCTCTGCAGACCAGGCTGGCCTCAACTCAAGAGATCTACCCTTGGAGTTTGCCTGGCTCCTTTCTTTCAAAGACAAGAGTTTCTCTTTGTAGCCATGGCTGAACTGGCCTTCATGTGGATCAGACCGACCTCCAACTCACAGCTTCTGCCTCTGAAGTGCTGGGATTAAAGATGAGATCCACTACACCCAGCACTGTTAGGCTTTTGTTTGTTTTTTGAGATAGGATCTCAGGTGTACTAGCCTGGCCTTGAACTCTTGGTCTTCCTGCTTCCACCTCCCAAGTTCTGGTATCACAGGAGTACACCACTGCAGCCAGCTTAGGTGTCAGGTTCTTTTCTGCTTTCCTCAGGTCCTGTTAGGCCCAAGAAGTTCTTGGATCTTAGATCAGTTAGGTCAAATGCAGCCCACAGCTCCAGAGTTACATCTCTGGAGAGTCTTGTTGCCTCACAGAGGGCAGTGAGCCAGCTCCTGTCTCTGAGCAGCTCCTGAGTCCCAGCTGCTTGCTCATTCTCCCTCCCCTCGTCTGTCTATCTGTCTCTATACACACACACACACACACACACACACACACACACACACACACACACACACACACACACACCCTAGTCTCAGGTTCCCACATTCACTTGTTTCTCCATAGAAATTCTTTCCATTCCTACTTGAAGGCTGGGCTTTTGGAATTCAGAAACTAAAAATAGTCTCTGCATTCTGTTGTGTCTTCTATTCCCTGAGGTAACAAATGGGGAGTGACCTAGTTGTGAACAAGAGGGACCCAGGAACACCAAGGAAAAGATGGCTGTGTGTTTCAAGATGGCATTGGGGTCTAGAATGCCATGGCATTTGCTCAAGCTTTCACATCCACCCTTCCTGCAGCCAAAGTGTGTGTGTGGGGGGAGGGTCTCAGTGATGGCAGAACCCCCAAGAACTGTGAATGCTCAAGCAGCTTTGTTCATATCCATCTCTCATTCTTAGAATTTGTGGGGGAGGGGAGGGAGAATTTGAGGGGGCTGCCGTATGTAGGGAGTAGCCCACTGAAGCTCCGAGAGCTAGATGGGCATGTAGCTTATGTGTTGGCTCACGCCCGAGACATACAGGGGACATTGATATTGCCACCTCTTGGCGTGGCTCAGCAGATGGGACTTAAACCAGTCCAGTGAGCTCTAGTCGGGCAACCCTGGCTGAAGGGCCAACAGGGATAACCAGGGCCCTTGAAGTTTTCATGAATGTTCCAGAAGGCCCTAGAGATACAGTACAGTATGTGAAGAGTGATGAAAGCAGCTTGGACTCCGCAAGGGGGTAGAATTATACCAACAGCAAGGTGGGCATGCTCACTAGCTAGCTCTGACCACCCACTTAATGCCTGTGAGATAAGACTGTGTAAGTGCCCAGCGGGGGGTGGTGGGGTGGTGGTGGTGGTGGTGGCGGTGGCATGCCTTTGGCCCTAGTGCGCAGAGGCAGGTGGATTTTGAGTTCAAGGCCAGCCTGGTCTGCCTATACAGTGAGTTCTAGGCCAGAGATACATAGTAAGACCCTGTCCCCAAAGTTGGGGTGGGGGCAGGAGGAAAGGTGTTATTAATGAAAAGGATAAAATGACCTTTGGAGGTAAGAACAGTTAAAAGTCTTGAAAGGTGGAAAGGCTAAGAACCATGGGCCCACTCCATTATGTCATGGCTGGAGAAATAGGCTCCGAGAGGGAGGAGACTCTTTCCCCAGCCCGTGGGCAGGTTAAATCAGTGCTGCAGAATGGTGGTCAGAAGTAGTCACGGCTGCTATGCCCTGTGTTAGGAGCTTGGTGAGCTCCACAGGGACAGAGCTGCAGTCTCACCCTGTGAATCAGCAGCCTCAGCCTCATCAGAGAGATGTACAAAACGATGTGCTCAAGGTGAACAACAGAATGGGGATTTGAAATCAGGCCGGCTAGTACCAGAGTCCATAAAATTTTGTGTTTGTTTTTAACACACGGTCTCACGTAGCATAAGCTGGCCTTGACTTGACTGTGACGCCACTGGATCTGGTGGTGCGGGCCTATAATCCAGGCGGATGGGCAGATTAAGGCAGGATACAAGTTCAAGGCCAGCTGGTACCATAGACTGAATGGAGGGGCCAGTGTGAGCAACTTACTGAGACTCTGTCTCAAAAACAAAAGCACTGGAGACAAAGCTCAGTGGTGAAGTAGCTATATACCATGGAAGAGGCCATAGGTTCAGTCCTAAGCACCAAAAAAGGCAAAACCAAAAAACACCAAACCTTGCCATACTCAGGGCTTGGAACCAGCCACTAAGGAGAGCTGGGGTTCTGAATCCTGAAGAAGCTCCTGGGGCTGAGGTCTTCTCCCCTCCTCCTGCGACAGTCCAATCTGCCTGTACCTCGTCAAGAAGCCATTCTGAACTGTTATGACAGGTGTCCCTGTGTTGTGGCAGCACCATCTGCCAGGGAACCGGAGTAGACGAGCCAGCAGGAAACTGTCACCACACATGTATGTCCCAGAGATCCTGGAGTTGGTGTCCTGATGACAGTTTTTTTTTTAATCTCCTCTGGCTGGCACATTTAGTTTCTATTCCTTATCCCCCTTCCCTCCTCTGCTTTGTTAGAAATCCTCTATTTCAAGTCGGCTGAGGGTATACAGGGAGTGGGGACGGACGGTGGTGTTGGCACCCAGCGTTCACCTTACTGATAATCTGGAAAAGCCAAAACCCATTCCTGTCAGAGTCTTTCCCTTGTCAGGGAGAGGAGCAGAGTGGGCCTGGCTTCTGGATGCCTGCCTTTGGGTCATGTGCCTCACAGAGGCTCCCTGACTGAGATCAGTGGGCATTTATAGGGTGTGATGGGCTGATCTGAAATTTATTGGGTCCTCACAGAGATGGTTATCTCCATTTGCACTTAGTTACCTAGCTTGTAAGTGATACAACAGCGATTCAAACTCTCACCTTTTTGGAATCCACCAAACTTTCTTCAAACCACAACCCAACCTTTGTTGGCTGAGTGTCATTGCAAAGGTCACTCCCCCTCCGAGCACTAGCTTCTGCAACTCTCTAAAGCCTCTAAAGTGCTTCACTTTGCATAAGAAACGACCTTGGGCCAGGAGATGGTGGCGCACGCCTTTAATCCCAGCACTTGGGAGGCAGAGGCAGGCGGATCTTTATGAGTTCGAGGCCAGCCTGGGCTACCAAGTTTGTTCCAGAAAAGGCGCAAAGCTACCGGGGGGGGGGGGGCGGGGGGGGGAGAGGAAACGACCTTGGGAGCTGCTCTGATTACTGTTGTTATTCAGCCTTATCCACCAAGCATTCAAAGGAACTAAGAAAGGAATATTGGCTGGGACAGCTAGACTTCCATTAAGACCAGCCTTCATGTCCCGGCAATACCTTGTGAGAGGACAAATGCACGCTTACCTCTAGCAGTGCATAGGCGTGGCTATGTGTGTCTACTCGTGGATACAGAATGACCCGGGAGAGGGGAGGAAAAAACTGAGAGTCGTCTAGCACCCGTTAGCTCCGAGACAAAGGAATGGGACTATGGCTGCTGGTATTGCTGCCACCGAGCCCTTCTGGCTGCTTCTACATGGCAGTGGAGGGAAGCCAGGCTTTCCGAGGGCCCCCAGTGAGTCACCAGACTGATGCAATCCCTTTAAAGGGCTCATCTGCTGGTGCAAGAAGCTGATTCATGGAGGGCGTGATTGCTGGAGGAGGAGAAAGGGACGGAAACTGTGGCAGGAGGGAGTGAGGTAGATAACCGGTTGGGATCGATCACTGGAACTCTTCACTGTAATCTCCCTGAACAAGACTCTAGGGATGTCCAGGGTGAACTTGGCCATCCTCGGGGCTTCTAAAGAGCCTAAAGTGAAATGAATTGTGAGCGTAGCGACAGCAATTCCTGTCTTCTCTTGAACCCAACCTAAGCGCTTTATCTCCAGAAGCCGAGACACGAGGATCAAGGAAATGCCGCTTTTCTAAAGAATGCAGTACAGTCGGCGATTCTTGCAGCCACTACAGACGTCCCCAACCCCAGCAAAGCGAGACTAGGGTTAGCAAGGTTCTGCAGAGGCGAGGCTGGGCGGCGCCTCCGTTCCAGCCCCCGTAGATGTAGATTAGAGGTAAGTACCGCCCCTTGACTGTCCAGTCGTTTTACAGATTCCGACCCAGACTCCACCCAGAACCAATCGGCGATCTTATCTGGGCCTCCTGCCTGAAGGCTTCCGCCCGTCCTCAAGATGGCGCCCCAACCCCGGACTCAGGCGAGGGGGCGGGGAGTGGGGCCGCGGGACGATGCGTCACTTCCGTTGTCAGGTGGCGGCGCCGCAGCCATGGAGGGAGGCGGCGGCGGCGGCTCCGGCGGCTGCGCTGGGAGGCGGCGGTGAGTGTCTCCCACGCCCCCGGCCCGGCCCCGGCCCCCGGGACGGAGTGCCGAGCAGCCCCGGCTCCGGGCTGCGGACTATGGGCGAACAGCGCTGAACCCGCGGGAAAGGTGAGTCCGGGGTCCTGGGACGCGGAGCCGGGTGGGGGCTGAATGCTGGTGGGGCGGGCCTCGGTGACCGTGGCGGGGGGACCCCGGTGACAGCCCGAAGCTGTCCAGCGCGACAAGAACGGCACTGGCCAATGTTCCCTCCGCCGCCGCCGGTGGCTGGGGTCTGTCTTTCCCGGCGGGGGCGGCGGCGGCGGGGGCGGCGACCGCCGGGAGCCTGGGTCTCGGCCGCAACCCCGGGGAGTGGGCACTGCCCGCCTTGCCCCAGACCCACTCAGCCTGTCACTGAAGTAGCCGGCTTTGGACCCACGCTGAGTTTTCCCCTGGAGAGACACCCACCCCTCCGCCTCTCCATGCTTCTCTCCTGACCTAGCGAGTGACTTGAAAGTTAGGACGAGTCCCCAGGGAGAGCCAGCCAAGGCTTTCCTCCCGGAGCCCTCACCCGTTGGCACCGACACCATCGCTGCCGGGGAATTCTCACATCCTGGGCGGCGTTCAGGTGCGAGTCACAGCTACCTGCTTGCCAGATCCACGTTGGGCCGGTCTTCACCGTGGGAGAGCCTGCTGTGGTCAGTGTTTCACCTGCCGTCCTGGTCAGGCCCGCCCATTCCTACGCTGCTCGGCCCCACCTTTCAGCATTGGGTAGGAGCTTTCGGATTCCCGGTGGCTTCTCTGTCCACCCCCACCCCCCAGGTTGTTGGCGGAAGGAAGAGATGACAGCCGCCTGCCTTCAGTGGCAGGATAGACTTTGCTCTGTTTTAAGCCACTGAAGGAAACCGGTTGGCTTTGCTGGTTTGGAGAATCATTGAAGAGGGTAGTCATGCTGGGCTGGGCGCCTTTCCCTCTTGACTGAGTAGTTTTGCATGAGATAAGGAAGAGCTAAACCGTCGGGTCCAGTGCTGTGAGTTCCTCCTGCCTTCCTTTATGACACTGTGATGCCAGTTTATAGATTAGACCTAGATCTGCCGGAGATAGCCCTCATTCATTCATTCATTCATTCATCACATAACAAAAGGGTCTTGCCTACCGAGGTAAGTGCTGTGTAGTATTGGTAGGCTTTGGAGTCATACTCCCTAAATTCTGGAATTAAAGGTGTGGGTCACCATTCCCAATACTCACTAAGTTCAAATTCTGGTGCAGCAGCTTTCTGCTTTTGTGACCCTGGACGCTTTGTCTCAGTGTCCTCATTTGGAAAACATCGGTAATGATAAAAGAATTGTTATGGAGAGTTAAGAAGTTAACGAACAGCACAGATAAGAGATTCTTATCTGAACTGGTTCACTGTCTAGTTAGAGGGAACTGACCTGCAAGCAGATGCTTGTAATGTGATCTACAAAAAAGCAGCAGGAACTGAATGCAGAGGGGGCCCAGGAAGGGACGCTGCTAGCTTAGTCTGGGACCTGGAAGCATGGAGTGGAGGGGGCTTAGGAAGAGTGGACAGTGTTGACCGGAGTTCAGCTAGAAGGAGAGGAAGGGGGTCTTAGTCAGGAGAGAATAAAGTGGAAGATGCTGTATGGAGAGAATTACAGAGGCAGAGAGCAGAACATTAGAGTTTATTCAGAAACCTCAGCTTGCTCAGGAGAGTGGTTGGAAGCCGACATAGTACAAAGGGAAGCAAAAGAAGTTGATGAGGAAATGAAGCTCTCATTGATAATTTGAGACTTGATGCCCAGTGCAGTGAGAGGCTAGTACAAAGCGTTCAGCCAGGGAGTAACATGACTGGATCCATGTTTTAGATAGCTTTCTCTGCTCAGGAGAGATGAAGGGCTGAAGAGGATGAAAGAGCCAGAGACCTCGTCAGAGACCACCACCCTTTCCCAAGAGGAGAGTTGCTATAGGCATAATGGATCTGCCTTGAGGAGGCACCATTTGCAACCAGTGTTAGGTGGCTAACCCTTTGCAGGGCCTGGCACACGTGCCCTTTTCTGTCTGAGATTGCAGGTTGCCTAAACAGCTGGAAGGAAGGGCTTCCCTCCCAGAAGGCCAGTTGTGAGGGTGCTACGTTTTCACTCGTGCCTTTAATGGATAAGACAGGAGGTTGTAGAGGCTCAAACGGATCTGGTTCTGATCCCAGCCCTACTAGCCTCTAGGGGCTACATCATCTCTCTATGCCCAGAATTCACATTGTAAAAAGAAAAAGTGGGACTACTTCCCCCAGAAGGGCAGTTGGGAGGATTAAGATAGATGTTGCAGGGTTAGTATTCAGCATGCACTGGGTAGTAAATGCTTGATAAAAGATAGTTTCATTGCCCGCTGCTGAAGATAGATCTGGGGATGACTTTAAGCAATTCACGGGATCTAGAGCGGTGGCCCACTGAGCTGTCAGGACTGTCCTGAGGGGTTCTGAGAGCACTGAATTTTATCGTATTCTTTCTGGAAAAAAAATGGGGGGTGGTCGGCAGTATTGCATGGGTGGGTTGACCTGCTGTTTTAGAGATGGTTTCATTGATGGGGTGCATTCTGTCATTCTAGGATACATCCTCTACCATCTTGAGTGTAACTGATTGAACAGGCTTTTATCTGGACTGACTTTCAAATTATTTGTTGTTGGTGTATGTGTGAGGTTGCATGAGTGTATGTTGACTGAGTGCATGTGTCTGTGGAGGTCAGAAGGTGCCAGACCTCCTGGAGCTCGAGTTACAGGTGGTTATGAGCTACCGAATACGGCTTCTGTGACCTGGACTGAGGTCCTCCCGTAGGCCATTTCTCCATCCCAACTTTCTTCATACATATGCTTTAGCCCACCCTAAGTATCTGTGGGACAAATGCCTAGAAGGGCTGCTGCCTCAGAGAGCTGCTTCTGCTTCTTCTTTGACAGGGTCCTTCCATAATAGCCCAGGTTGTCCTCAGACTTAGAACAGCCTTGAACTTGCCACCTTCCTTTCTCAGCCTCCTAGATGCCAAGCCTTCCTAAACCCCAGTAAGTATGCTCTGCCCGAGTGAGCAGATAAAGCAGATCATCTCCCTCCTGCCTGTGGCAGATGTGGGGATCAGTGGGTGGGAATGTGAATTCTTCTTGGGGCTTAGCTCTCTACAAGCCTGATGACTTCAAGGACACCCCAGCTGTCAGGAAGCACAAACAGAGGTAGCAAACTGGAGATGATGTCCCCTCTAAATATGCATACGGACTGCCACCTACCCCCAGCAGGGACAGACATAGACTCTTCAGCCTTTAAGAAGTTTGCTGCCCGAGGGTTCAGAAGGAAGAGAGTGCATAGGAGTGGGAATTGGGAAGAGCAGGATCGACTTGCTAGTTACTTGTCTTTGTGTGTGGGCACAGCTGGTATGATGAGGTGTGTTATAGGGATAGCAGTGCTTTTAGGGAGAGGATTTCTTGACTCTTGGGGAGACTTGGTCCAACATTCTGTGAGACTTTGGACATCATGGCTGACACCTTCCAGGTCTGGCCAAAAATGTCCTGCCACTTTTGTATTGGGTTTGGTGCTGGCAGCATCCTGGATTAGGGGTGCATCTCATGGGTAGTGGTTGTGTTTTCTCTTGAAGTAATAGGAACGAAGTCAACAAGAGCAAAAGGCTTTGAATCACCAGAGATCCCCTGTTGAGTACCCTGGACACTGTATGGCCTCTGAGGGCAGGGCTTGTCTCCACTTTACTGAACAGCTTGGCTGGGGTCAGAAGGGATTAAGGAATCTGCCCTATGTTTAACAGCCAGTGAGAATAGAGCTGGGACTTTCCATCCATCCTTGTGTGACTCTGGAACCCATCCTACCCCTTCTCCATCCTGGCCAGGCTCTGGCCCCAGGGAGCCTAGTCCTCAGAATCTTGGAGTCATAGAGCTTAGAGTCCCTCCTTTGCTTAGAGGCCCCCAATGGAACTGCCACTGCCTGGAGACAGGTTCCTCTTTTTCCTGCCTGTGGGAAGTAGGTAGGGACACTTTAAACCATGTTAGCCAGTGATCAGACCTGGCTTTAGAACCCAGCTCTGTCACATGCTAGCTAAATGACCTTGAGCAAGTCATTCAGATCCCACTGTCCTCTCCTGTAAAAGAAGCAACCATCCCTGCATTAAGATGAACCGGGTTGCCGGGCGGTGGTGGCGCACGCCTTTAATCCCAGCACTCGGGAGGCAGAGCCAGGCGGATCTCTGTGAGTTCGAGGCCAGCCCGGGCTACCAAGT